ATTCCTGTGAAGTCAAAAGCATCAACAATTTCTACAAAGTGATTGTCAGTCATTGTAGCTTGTTTCACAAAGTAAAAGAGTGAGGAAGTTCCAGTATCTTGGGGTCTTGTTCCAGAGTGAGGACAAAATAGGCAAAATAGGATTGACTGGTGCAGTGTGGTATCATCAAATTTGACTGGCATCAAATTGCTTAATCAGAGCCTCAAACACGTCCAGACTAGACTGTTGTGAAGAAAATGCTGGGCCTGAAGGAAAAGTTATTTCGGGTAATCAGCCTTGCATGGCAGCCCCGCTGCCATTTGTGTGTCTGTGTGAATGAGAGCACTATATAAGTGAAGTCCATTTACCATTGTAGAGACAGGGTTAGCAGCCTGGACATCTGGTAGTAGCTTGGAGAAGAATCATTGCTCCTTTGAATTGAACAGAGTCAGTTTAGATTGTTTGGGCATCTGATTAGGATCCCTCTGTGAACTGAACCCAAAGTTTAATATTGTACACTCAATGTCTCACACTCAAACAAATGTCTTGGCTCAATAAATAAATAAAATAGAATAAAAATGAAAATAAACTCAACAGTTTGCATCACTGTTTTTGAGTTACGGCAACTCCTAATGAAATTATATTCAACAAATGTACTACACTGAAATAGGGAAATTAACTTTTCCACTACAATCAAAGGTATTTTTAGTTACCTCGTACTTACCACTTATAAATGGTAGCATAAACACAGGTTTTTAAGGTGATTAGGCTACTATTCCACATTATGTCAACACATATCAAAAATAATGTTGACAACTTAAAAACTTTTCTAAATCAATAAATTAGAACTTTTGTCTTACAACTGTGTACTTATAAGTGGTGACAATAGGTTCACTGAATAACTTGATGTATGATAAGTACTGTACTTTCTATTTTATTATTACAAATACTTTATACTTACTATACTCTATACTACTTTTATTTGACAGCTCTTGTTACACAAAACCTGTAATGGGTTTTTAAAATGATATATCTTTAAGGCACGACCAAATAGTAACATATATAAACTATGGTAGTTAAAATTAGCTGCACCTCAATCGGCTACAACATATGTTACTAATTGAAAATAAAATAGCATGGGATACGGTAGCATTACAATTGAAACTGTAAGTGGTTTTGTTGCTAATACTTTTATAATGTTACTTAAAATGTTTAATGCAGGATAAATTGAGCATTAGGGCATGAATTTTATATGATTTATTCTATATGGAAATACATTCACATCCTGCACACATATTGAAAGAGACGTGGAAAAATGCCCAATATCATTTTTAAGGGATTACCTACTTTTACTACATTTACATTGTAGCACACACTCCCAACCCACTGGGCAAGTACTAGTTTATTCTCCCTTATATGAAACCTATGGATACTCCTATTGATAGATTGATGCTTGAACCATCATCAGTTTCTGGAACTCTCAGACATCCAAAAACTTAAAGAAACCTTAGCAGTAGGAAATATGTAGACAAGCTTTTAAAAAAAATAAAATTAAAAAAAAGATTAATTCCCCAAGGCAACATGAAGCGTAGCTGTATGTGTGTGTGTGTGTGTGTGTGTGTGTGTGTGTGTGTGTGTGTTTGCATCTATCATAAGACTCTTTATAGAAACTAACCATTCAGTCTCCACCCTTGAATATATGGGAAGCTATCTTTAACAATGGAATGGATAATTTAGATTTTAAATTGGACACTTAAAGCCAGATGGGATTAAACAAGGAACTAGATTTGAAACCATGTTTGAGGAATGCAGTGGATTATATTCGACTGTGAATAAGACATCCAGAAATGTTAAGAGATGAAAGAGATTTGGCCATGCTGCGTTTTGAAAACATTTTCCTTACTTCTATTACCCGGTGATGTGTAAAGAATACAACCTCATAAAACACCCAGATAAAGGCAAGATAGCTGAGAATGTACGAAGCATACAGCATGAAATAATGGAGAAAAATAGCTCTACTTGTTCAATTTTGATCGATTTGTATCAATCATACTGTCAGATGCTGTTCAAAAACCACATAATTGGTCTGGTTCTTCAGATGTGAGCTTCCAGCATTCTTTATGAAACTGGGTTCCTGACAAAGTGAAGTAGACCGAGACTTTCCTTCCTCACTAGGACAGAATCATCACTGCTTGAGGGCTGTATTTTATCTTGTAGTGCAAATTTTCGCTAAGAATTTCAAAAACACTTTTTTGTGCAAGTTTTAGTGTGTAACACTGTCAGATGACAATTTTAAAAAATGGATTTGGGTCAAACAAATAAGGAACTGACATGCTGACGTACGATCGTCTGCCTGAGGAGACACAAAGGCCCTCGCACGCTGTAGCTGAATACACTGACCCACTTGACACACGTTGTCTCACACTACATACTGAGATGTCACAATTACAGTACCACACACATACTCTCATTTGAACCTTATGCAAGCGTCTTTTACAGTTTCTGCCCTGCAACCACTCATTATGGGCTGCTGTGTGCCTGGGAATGTGTGAAGATTAGTAGCTCGGCAGATGCAAATAGATTTGCTCCTGGCAGATCCTGACACCAGAATATTTAGCTCACAAATTAAAAGAAGATAGAGAGCAGTCCATCTTAAATGACAGGCTAATATTAGCACTCTGCATACTTGTGGGTGTTGAAATCTGGTTATGTTTTTTCTTGGTATACTTTGATGGTGTTTTATTGATGTACTCCAACAACACTTCCAGTGCGATGACTCAAAATAATTTGATAGATTTTCAGTTTATTCATTCTTGAAAATAGCAAAAGATAGTCTTCATGGGGAGGCTAGGAACTCAAACGTTTTGTTAAAGAAGACGAACTCTACCTCTAGAGGATAATATCAGGTGAACATACACACAAAGTTTGGTGGGTGAATTACCCATCCAAAGGCCCAGAATCTCTACCAAGGATTAGCTTTTCTTTCACACTCCAGACTTCAGCTTGTTCAAATGGAAATAGCCTGAATTAGCCCCATGCTGAGCCCCCCCCGCTTTCTCTGTCTCTACCTATCTCAGGCTTGTTCCATTTCAAACCACCTTTGAAAAAGCATCATTGCTTTTTATTTGTATGTTTGTTATCTGTATGCTTAGCTGATCAAGCTGCGGGGGGTTGTGCGAAGACAGGAGGGCATACAGCGGTAGAGAAAGACATGTTGACACACAAGCGTAGGAAATGCATACAAATGTTCATAGTATCTGAGTTCACTGACACTGAACTGGCGCGCAGCTCAGATGAGGTCTGATGGGGTTGCCTGGCCTGGCAGTCCAGCGCTTTTGGGGGATCAAGCTGTAGCTCTTATCTCTCTGGCCTGATGGTCTAACCTCTATTCCCTGCCATCAGTCTTTCACACACACCCACACACACCACACACACACACACACACTGGACTGATGGTCTTCACTGCCTTACTTTTTGCCGTCTGACTGACTAGAGCTGAAGCAGATAAACTGCAGTGCAGGCCATAAATCTGTGCTTTGGGAAGAGAGGGGAAGCGAGAGTGCAGGCAGTCAGATGTTGGAATAGTGTTAGAAACAGCACAACTGCATGCCTGCATGCCTGCATGCATACACGCATACACGCACACACACACACACACACACACACACACACACACACACACACACACACACACACACACACACACACACACACACACACACACACACACACACACACACACACACACACACACAGCACTTACGGCACTAATAGCTTTTGTTTTTTTTTTTACCAATCTTCATTAAAATTTCACAAGCTTTTTTTTTTTTAAAAAAGCAGGAATTTGCACAGCTTTTGTACCAACCTAATGTTGTAGTGTCTTGCTGTAAGACTGCAGTGATTACCACAGTACATATAGGACAACAGAGAAAAAGCACAACTGACAATGAAACAAACAGTTGAATTAATTAAACAGAATACGTTTTGCTTTAAATTATATTCTCTGACTTTCACTCAGATTTAAAAATAATAATAATTGGGGGCTTTTATTGCCTTTAATTGACAGTGGTAGCTGTAGAATGACAAAAGAGGGGAGAGAGAGGGGATGACATGCAGCAAAGGGCCAGATTTTTGTATGTGTTTTGTTTTTATTAATTTTTAAATCTGAGCTTTTGTGCAGATCAATTTAAACAGAATTTAATTCAGATTCATCCACCAAACATATAAGTGTACTGCAAGATGGCACTGATCTGTCAATTTTGCGACACGGCCTTCTTTACCACACACTCTTAGACACAGAAGAAAATAGAGATAATGGCAATGATTAGGCATTGGTAAATAACAGTAAATGCTTAAACTACTGCATAGTGTATGAATTTAAACTGTGTTTTAATGATCAAAATGAGCCCTGATAAATTCACAATTTATTTAAGAATAAAATTGGAAAATAATTAACTGTATACATACTTCCACTTGCACACATACATCCCACACATACGTACACACCACATAATATTTTAAATAGAATTCCGACTATGTCGAAGAAAGGCAGATATGCTCTCTAAACCTGTGAGTAATAAAAAGAGAAGGTAAGGTTTTCCAAACTGAATGCACACCCTCATTTCTCTTCCTGTGCTGCTTCTGATAATGGTAAACCAGCAGGATGTGAGGTTACGCAGTGAGCAGTGTTCAATTACAGGCACATGTACAAACCATTTAAAGATGTTCAGAGTGGAAAGCAGAGATGCCTGCATTAAATTAGTTTTTCCCTCTTCTCTGTTGTATAATTGCTGATGCTCAGATGTACAATGTGCTGAAGTACCTGTATGTCAGGAGTAATTACAGTCTTCCCAAGGTGAGAAAAGGAAAAGGAGAATGGCTGTTTGTCATCCGGTCATGACCCGTGCATATTCCTGCTCTGTCGGGCTCTGCAGGAGTTTTCCTTTAGAGAATTTTGTATATGTTATGAGAACATGCAGTCGATAAGTATTTGGATCTCTGATAAGAAAACAAATCCAGACAATGCTTGCAGACTTTTATCTGTTAAAAGCTCATACACTGATTACAGTTGGTCAAACAAACAAATTCACATGTTTTTTTGCACTGTGTCTATGCACAGAAGCACATCAACCTCCATAAGTCACCAGTGTTTGTTCTGTTGTGGACATTATGGATTTCATGGTCGTCAGTATCAAATAACCAAAACTGCAGAGGTTCAACAATTGATATAGAAAAGCTCGTTTTAAGGGTTTAATGGCAGCATGGCAAACTAAGTCTTTAAATTAAAAAAAGAAAGGATGAAAGAAAGGAAGAAATAAAGAAAGCAAGCAAGCTCTGGGCTGATTTTTGTGTGTGCTAGTGTGCGCTGAAGAAGATTTAGCCTTGCCATTCAGGCGTTTATAAAAAAAAGATGGCAGAGCTGAATGGTGAAGGATCAGCCATTGTGAGCGATTTGATTAGAGTGAATTCTCAGGAGAACTTGTCCAGGGTGTCGGGTTATTGAATCAGACCTTTCTGCACTGAGGAGCGTCGGTCACACACGAGTACAGAAGATGGCAACATGTTGGGTAAAAGCAGTTTGTTAACAGGGTGCCACCTTCGTAAAGCTTGAAGGAGGGCTGCTTTGAGTGTTCAGTGTGACTTATTTCATATCAAAAACTTAAAATATTCAGAAGTATGTTTTAAAGTGTTGTCCAAGAGTAATAACAAGCCACTAACCCATTGATTTTGATGAGATAAAAAACACTGCTAAACAGAAAATTGGTGCTACTTCTGCTTATTGTAGAAAGTTCCAGCTTTTGCTTTTAAAACTGAGTTGGCTTGTTTTTCCAAATTAAACATTTGAATTTTTTACTTTAATCAAACACATCTGAAAGGTTTCAATTTAGCTGCAAGGAGCTGAACGGATTCCATAACATTCACATGTCGCAGTTTTCTGCCCGAAAAACTAATTCCTTGTTCAACTTCTCCTCCCATTAATGTGTGATGCAGGTGGATTTTAAATAAAACCACCATCGACTATAATCATATTGTTAGAATTCCTTAATAGCAACGCCAACTTTCCCCTTTATTTATGTAATGTCAAATATCTGGAAAGTTGGACTGTTGGAATAAAAAAAGATCTAATATGATTACTACATTACCACATTTACTTAAAACCTGTTTCACGACCCGTTACATTAATAGACACAAAGTTAAACGGATGGAAACATTTGTGCTTTGGAAAGTTTGACATCGAGATCTTTTCATAATTAGATGTACAGTATGGCGTCTTGAAATGAAACCATGTTTTAAAACCTAATATTTCTGATTTCTGTATTCTGGGCAACATGGTGAGGGAACTACCAGCTTCTTTCACGGGTAATATAAAGAACTTTGTGACCGATTTGCAAGCCAGTTTAGTCCAGATTGTGTGTGAAAAGGCCAGAGGATAAGTAGAGTGTGTCGGTGTAAACCAGACTGATGTTATCCAGCATGCATGTTTGGACAGGGTGCTTTTAAGGAGTCAGAATGTCCAATGTCCAAGCAATTCACCAAAACAACTCTTATTTTGAAAAATCTTTACCAGAATTGCAACCATTTTTTTTTTTTTTTTTTACTTTTTGTCACGAGAAACATTTGTCTGTAACTTCATACAGAGATTCAAAAGCGTCCAATTCATAGGATACAACATAGAGACATTTATTTCTTGTTTCAATACCATAACCGAGTGGTTCTCCCTCCCATCAGCCCCAGAAAGCAGCATTGTTCATTAATAACCAAAAACAAAAATAAACTAAAAAATGTCACATTAGCTCCTGTGGTAACCCTTAGCCCTCTGTCCTTCCTTTGTCCTTCTGTCCATCCATTCAACCGACTGAAAAATAATGCACAGGTGAGTGTGTGTGTGTGTGTGTGTGTGTGTGTGTGTGTGTGTGTGTGTGTGTGTGTGTATGTGCATATGTATGTGAAAATATAATTTCTAACAAAAAGAAAAATAATCTAGATTGGTTTGAAATGCTGGACGAAGGGGAGTCAGCATCTGGGCTGTCTTTGACCCTCCCAAATCCGACCAACTGCAGAAGAAGTTGTTTCTTGTTTTCCCTTCTTCTCCCTCTCGTCCCTTGCTGCACCTCCAGCACACACACACACACACACACAGCTGGGGAGTTTTTGTTTTGTGTCGTAAATCCTCAAAGTGTGGTTGGTAACCACAGAGGGCTGTACTGTAATTCTTGGCTGGGTAGACAGGTTTTCATAATGCAAGAGGGAGGGGGGATTTGTGTGGAGGCTCCTTCCACGTTTTGCCGTTTTGGATTCTGTGCACGCTCACGGAATCACGGCTCGTGGACGTGCGGCGGGACGTTAATGAAGTTCGTTTTTCGTTAGAATTGAGCAAAACCAAAATGTGACAGAGTTAATACAAAACAGGGAGAAGAAAAAAAAGAAAAATAGTTACATCATTCCTGTGTTCTTCAACTTTGTACTTGGTCACTTTTTGAATTCCATATATTTATATCCATATATATTTATATATATATTTATATATTCTTTTTACAATTAAAAACACCATGGATTTGACAGACTATTTGGTTTCTTTTTGCCTAAGTAGACGTGTTTCTCTTGTTTTGTAAATAAATGCATGTAAATATTTTTTTCTCTTTTTCCATACTGTCAGTCGGTGTAAAGGCCGCCACTCAACAAGTGTTTGTATGTTTCTATCCACACAGTATGCATATCATCTGCACATATTCAGAGTTTCCAAGATTTTACTTTTTTTTTTATTCAGCGTTTCCATTTGTGTCCCACAGATGCAGAACACCAGAGTCTGTCAAATGCTGTCAAACCAAAGTGAATGTCCTAAATCCTGTCCTTTCATTGGCTGGTTTGGCCCAGGTCTCTGTGTGATAGGCTGGGGCTGAGTAACTGGGTCTGCGTGGGTCCGTTACAGCTCAACGCCCCAGCGCTTCCTCCGTTAAGGTTCAGGAAGCAAACCAAAGTTTCTCTGGCTTCCACCAGCACGGCCGCCGAGCTCCCACCGCTAACCCCACCCTCTTCCTGCTTCCTGTGAGCCAACGCCCTGAGATGCTCCTGGGCCTCCTCCAGCAGCAGCGCCACCTCATCCTGCTGCTGGCCAATGGCGGACGAGCAGGAAGAAGACGAAAACGCTGCGCGTGCTAGCTTCTCTCTCCGCTCTTCCTTGCAGGGCATGGCTCCACAGGTAACTGACATCGCTGTGGCTGCTGGGGTGATGCTCGTTTGCATACAAGACACCTCGTTGTCATGGTGACACTGGACGGAGGGGATGATGGGGATAGAGCAGGAGCGGAACGGAGGAGGCGGGGAGTGGCTGTGACGGCGTCCAGGCCTGCGCAGGCTGCGGGTGGCGGGATTCGCATCGCCGTGCTGAGGCGGAGCGCAAAGGCCGGAACGCACCTCCATGCGGCCACTCCAAGGCGGGGGCGAAGTTGTCTCCATGGAAACAGGAGATTGCATATGTAGGAAGGCATCTCGTCTGGGGTCGTCAAATTGGTTCTCTCCCTGCATTTGGCAACTAAAAATATGGGAGACAAGAAACAAAAGGACAAAACAGAGAAACGGAGCAAAGGTTATTCAGGTGGAGAAAAACTTCTTTACTTCACCTGGAAGAACAAGTCATTGTGTCTTTGAGTGTGATTTCAACTCGATCGCCTTTTCAAACTCCCACGGTGAATCCCCGGCAGAATACACAGAGGGACAGCTCTCCGCCCTTTGCCATCTCATAGGCTAACTGAGGATACTGAGAGCAGAGAAGATGGGTCTGACATCTTTCTTTCATCTCTTTATGTCTGAGTCCGCACACACACAAAAAATCTAAACTCCCTTATATAATGAAAAAGGTAACAGAGAGTTCACCTTTTAGATTATTGATTCAATGATGTTAAGTATGTTAAAAGTGAGAATTGTTCTTTTAAAACTTGAAGGCATTCAGCTTCGGTCAAGGACAATTGAGGTAATCTTTTTTTTTCCTTTTTTTAGTAGTGCCAGTTCTAGGTCAAGATGATTTGCTTTGTTTAGAAATCCTTTTTCAGTCACTCTTGCTCTGAGGTTGTATAACTGCACTGATTCACATTATGATGGGCAGATCTTTTCTATAACTCTATCTCTGCGCTCATACAGTCATTCCTGTGCCTGCATCATCCTCCTCTGCAATTTTTTCTTCATGTTTTCTTAACTTGACCTGTTGTGTTACATGTCTGCAGTGTGTTTATGTGTTCTTCTGGTTCCTTCTCAAATCAAGCCATAAACCTATCCCCATTTGTGCAGCCTGCCTGTCCCTGTTAGTCTCAGCCTGTTTGTTAGCTGTCTGCTCTAAATTAAATGTACATTTATTTTTTATCTGTTGCTTGTTCACTATTAATGGCTACATGAACATGACACCCGGTTACAGGGAAAAAGCAGGGTTTACATGTGTTTACATGCAGTGTTCAGCTGCAGAAACAGATTTATTTAGACTGAAGCTAGTATTTCTAATGTCAGTTTTAGTTTAGTTGGAGTTTGGATTTAATTATTCTGGATGCAAAGACACACTGCTGTGAGTAATCATGTTCCCCATGCACCCCGCTGCACTGCTCCCACAGTGATACTTTCCCAGTTTTTGTTATAGACATGCAATATTTTAAACACCTCATTAGAAACCTTTTTACATGTACCAACCCAAGAGAATAATAACTAGAGAATGCTTCTGCAAAAATTATTGAATTATGGTCAGGGCAAAGGTTTTTTCATTTAACGTCCAATGCCAACCTTTTTAAAATGATCGCTTTCTACAATATCTAGGCCTGGCAACTATGGCATGGTTAAGGTTAGGGAATACTGTGGTTATGGCAAATAAACCATGGTTAATGTATGGTTAAGGTTCAGCAATTTGTAAGGGTTAGGGAAGCCTCTGTGCTGATGCTGGAGCTACTCCTGAGTGTTCCCTGACATGCGCCAGTGGCAGGTACTGATGACCCAATAGCCTTGACTTGACTCATCATTTGCCTCACCTGTTGAGCTCACGAAAGCAACTGGCAAGCTTTACTGCCCATTGTGATATCTATATATACACACACTGTATATACTATATAGTGCATAGTATATCCGGGTCTTGACCTAATTTCACTGAGCCCAGACATAATCTTTCTCCCTCTTTTTAAGACTGACCATGCTCTTCAGTGTTATCAGTGTCTAAATCCAGCGGAGCCTCATCTGTGTAATAATTCATAATCCTCTGCAAAGACTAGCCTTTTCAGCTATGTCAAAATCCAACTTTGACTCCCTCTCCTTTGTAATACCTCATCACACACACTTGCGCTTTCCATCGAGACGTGCAAAAATAGTGGTGGGAGGAGAAGGTGCTTTTTCAGACTCAAAGGAAATCACATCGTCCTTTTATCACTGCAGTATTTTTCCGAGACATGAAAACCTCACCAAAAACCACAGTGGAGATTTAGCGGGCCCACAGAGAGGATCCCGCGAGCGATAAGAGAGGATGACGCGAGGGTGCTAATTCCCAAGATAACATTCACAGACAAATCTCTCTTTTGATGTGTTGAAACACAATCAGATTGCAAAAATCTATGAAGCAGAGTTCAAATATAGACCCTGGAGCAACGAGGGAGCAGCTAGAGGGGTATTACAGAGAGATTGTGTGCAAGTGAGGTGAGATAAGTGACTGGGCTTTTATCTTTTACGGGAGCTCATTACATGTACAAGTGTTAACAGTCATTTTCATTAATCCATCCCCCTACAGATAAACATATCTCATCTGTTTGCTGCTAAAGTCAAAGTAAATGTCTATGTGAGTGATTCAGTGACCTTGTAACAATGGGAAACATTTGTAGAGATGCAACATATATACATACATACATGTACCTACACACAGACACATACAGAAGCTGTGTCTGGTTAACTGATGGCTGTTGAAGACAAAGTTAACGAAGGAGGGAGATTGCTATGTTTCTAATAAAATACTGTAAACAGTGGACAAAAATACAGAAATGCATGCAGTCTCTCAGTCAGCCATTTTGGAGACAGCTTTATCTTAAAATAGTAGTAACAACACAGGACATTCTGTCTCCCTGTCAGCCATTTTGTTGAGATAACACTGGGCTTCTCTAACAGGCATAGACGGGCAACCTTTCTTTAAAGCATTTTCGAACTGTCATATGCTATCTGCACACTCCTCTATCACTCTTCTTTCACTCCCCCTGCTGCTGTTTCTCTTCCTTTACTATATTTTTTAAACGCTTTCCGTCTGTGTCAGAATGGATTCAAACTGGTTCTCTCTCTATTCCTGTCTCTGCATCACTCCCTCAGTCTCTATGCAGTCGTGGTCAAATGTCTCCATGGCAACCCACACTACCATACTATGGGAAAGGGAGTCTGTCGTGTGTCTGTGCATCTGCTGTTATGTGAAATCGTACATTAGAGAATGAGTGAATGAGTGAGCAGAAGTGTGTGTGACTCAGTCTGAGTGTGTGTGAGCGAGAGAGTGAGTGTGACCTCTTGCCTTTCAACGCAACCTGTTCATCTGTCTGATTTTCATGCAGCATCTGTAGCTACATGACTGGGTTTTTTTACGGAAAGGGAGTTTTCATTCTGTGCAGTGGCATGCACAGATGCTCTAGGGGCAAAGGCAAAAATAACAAAAGGGAGCCGAGCAGCATTTGGGCAGCGAAGGACACTTGTAGTGACCAGAAAACATTCAGGCCAACCGGAGGCTGACCATATTACATATATACTGACCAGGGGATCATATGGGGCCAACCACAGATCACTTCAGCTGACCAGAGGGAAACTGTGGTTGATCATAGGACACCAGAAGATGCTTGGACCAACCACAGTTTGGCTTGACCCTTGGGTTGACGAGTAAACAGTTGGGTTTAACCTGGGCAGACACCTGGGAAGACCGGAGGAGACTTGGGACAACCAGAGGACACCTGAGCTGCTGTAGGCACTTGGGCTCACCAATGGACATTTGGGCTGATCACAGGGGCACCTGGGGGGCACTTGGAGCAACATGAAGACACTTGGGTTGTGCCGAGGGCACTAAGGGATGGACTTAAGGTGACCAGAGAGGCACTTGAGTGGCACTGGGTCAGATTAGAAGAGCACTTGCGCTGTGGAAAGGCATACTTAAGCAGCTCAAGTGTCCCTGAAATATCCTGCTTAAATAAAGATTAAAACAAAAGGAAACTAAAAGAGCAGGGGCAGTCACCACTCTGTACCCCCTCTGTGCACACCAATGAATTTACCACACCACATGTGACAACGCTGTAGATGTGAGTGTGTTCTTGTTCGGCCATGTCTATTTCCTCTTTCTATTAGTATGCATGTAGGTCATGTGGAGCTTTATCCTGAGCCAGAACCGCTGGGACGCCTGAAGTGAGGCTTGCCAGTCCAGGTAGGTAAAGCACTGACTCATGACCCACCAAAAATGGGTCAAAGCGCCTTTCACACTGAATACATTTCTTGCTAATCATTCACACTGATCATTTGCATATCCCCTGGCTGTGCATATTCAGTTTGGCCTGAGAAGTGTAACCCTATGTGTCACATTTAAATGTTGGAATTTAATTGCTGGTGTACCTGCTTAGCAATAAAAAGCTGAGAATCAGAATTTAGCGCCTGCATGAGATGCCAGAGAGGAGCGAAGAGGGAGAAGAGTCTGGATGTCTAGCCTGTATCATGTCCTTAAAAGCACCAACCAAAAAGTTTCCTTTGAACTCATGCCACTGTATTTCAATCCACAACATAACATGACCTTGTTTTATCTTTGCTCAGCAGATTGGAAGGCGGCGGGGGGGGGTAAAGGGGATTAAAAAAATAAAAAGAAATGCGGTCCTAAAATTAAAAATAAAAAAATAAATCACAGAACTGGCTTTGAAAAATCCACTCTTGAAAATGAAGTCCAAAGCTTTGTCCATGGCAGGCCTGGTATTTTTCAGTTAGTGGCTTTCACTGAAATGATTAAGCACATTGAGGATACAGCAAAGAAGTACGGCGGAGACAGAAAGAAAGAGAAAAAACATCTAAAACAACCTTTTGTCTGTCAGTGTAGTAGGAGACTGTAAACCCAGTATGATTCAGTGGTCTACATTACATGGTCATATCGAATGTATCGATATGACCATATCAAACACACATTCAATCTTTCTAGAGAAACCATTGAGGCAAATATGATTCCTAAAAAAAGTTCAAATGACCAAAATGTCTCGCAGTGATACTTTCCTAAACAGGGAATGTTTCTGTGGAGAAGAAAATCACAGTCCATATTCGATTGTCAGCCTATCATGACGTTACCCACTGGTTTGTGGAGTACCGTTAGGAAGCCTCGGGTTTGGCATTACGGCCGCTAGGACCTAGCAGCAGTGACGTACTGCGAGTTGAGCTGCTCTTATTGACCGCGAAGCTCGCCTGGTCACACATATTTGCGCTTTACAGCTAAACAGCACACTGTTTGTTTTGAGTGTCCACATTTGCGCAAAAAATGCTGACTAATTGATCTGAGTTCATTTGGAGGGCTGGAAACGACCAACACCCTAAAATATGAGCAGTGATTCATATTTGATCAGCTCTGCCTAGTTTGAAGGCAAGGTCTGAGTTCCGTGCATTGTGATGTACAGAGTCACTGAGAATGACTCGTCAATCACAAGGTAGCCATGCCCTAAAGCATTCCCTGCTTTATTGTGTATTTGACTCTAAATTGGACCATCATTTACTAAATGCACATCATGCTGCATGGAAGAATACTTGAAAGTATTTAGAGACCATAAAAGAAAAAGCTAATTCATTAATTAAGGGTAATTCTTCCATAGGACTCAATACTATTTGATTATTTATTTTTTGCAGTTCATGGAGCTTCCCCCTACTGGCCAATAGAAAGAATGCACATTTAAGACACTTCTGCCTTGGCTTCAGGAAGCTCTGTCCACTATATATACTGTCAGTGTTCATAACAGGAGCACAACATTCGTCTGGGCCTTCAGTAGCATTCTCCTCACCCTCTTTGTGCTTCAGCCTCCCTCTCAGATGAGTCTACTTCTTGAAGGTGTTGGTAGGCGGGGCCTGAATATTTCGATCCTCCAATTGGATTTAGTCTTCCCCTGGGTATGGGCGGGGTCCTGCGTGGAGCTGTCCAGTGGGCTGCCCGGGTTCTCTGATCCGGAATGTGAGACAAGGAACCACTTCTAAGAAAACAAATAAAGAAGTCAAAAAGATTCAGGAGTTATTGTTGAAGATAGTATCTGACAGAATATTCACAGGCTGACTGTCAGACCAATATAAAATTGTCCTCTTGTTTAGAATGAATATGCACACAGGGTTTTGTTTTGTTTCAGATGGGTCAGTTTCAGTTGTGTCCAGAATTTTGGAACCATAACCTGTTGAAGCAATCAAAACAATAATCTCCTAATTGAAGTCTGTATCAACATATGACCATTGATAAAACACTTTATTAACTGAATGTATTTGAACACTGACCATCAGATTAAGTAACTGCCCTTCTCAAGCCAGTAGTCCAAGGAACTAAGAAACCCAGAAAGTAAACTCAGGAAAAAAATCTGTAACCCACAACCCTTGGAAACATTCCTGCTTCACTTGAGATACAATGTTTACACACAACAAGAAAACAACAACCATTATCTTCTTGTACAGGCTGACTATGATGTTGGAATGGATGCTGGACAGAGACATACAGGGGTGGAAAGGGAAAATATAAAGTGGACAAAAGTCCCGCTTGTTAGTGATTCAGGTTGGGGCGGGCAGGTCAAGTGACAAAGCAGCGTTCCGAGTAAGTTATTATAACTTACAGAAACACTGTTTGTGGTAGTCCACCTCTCACCTTCTTGTCCCCTCTCTCTGACAAACACACACACATGCTGGCTAGAGAGAGTGAATCTAGTGAGCGCGTTTTCAGCTTAGCTGGTTGCTGCTTGAAATGCATCAAAATAGGTTAAATCCTGGAAGTGTGGACTCATTCTTTTTCAACATTTTTTTTTCTACACAAAGCAGCCAAACACTAAGTTAAAAAAACAGTTTAGACGTACACATGTGGGCTACTATTTTGTTAAAATTGACTGTTGTGAAGGATGCATTGTTTGTGTGTGTCAGAGACAGAGAGAGAGAGTTCATTTCTTTAAGGAAGGGTTACATGATTCAACAATAAAGAGCACCTTTTGGAATCATTCATATGTTTATTTAGCCTAGCTCTTCCCACTACTGTGGGCTGGGTAGAAGTCAGCTTCTCTGACAGCTCTTAGATGCTCCCAGCAGCAGGATCAGCCCCTTGGAGACTTTTGTGGGGCTCAGTTTTGACAGTTGTGCTAGTATAATGTAAAAAGTTGGCAGTTTGCAGGGTCTAGGTGGTTTATAAACAATTTTTTTTTAGGGTTGGGTGGTGTGAATTGGCTCTTGTGATTGTGGGGGTGGGTATTAAAAAACCATGAGCCGTGCATCTCTACCGCTTGTCAAAATGCAAATAAGTCCATTTCCCAAAAAGTGTGTGACATTTAGGACATTTAGGAAGATCTATTGGCAGCAATGGAATATAATATTCATAGGTATGTTTTCATTAATTAATAATCACCTGAAAATAATAATTGTTGTGTTTTTTTATTTTGGTTGCAATCTGCAACATCATCGATGGATGTCACAAAATCCTACACACTGGTCCTTTCAGAAAAAGGTTGAACTGTGACATAAATAGATAAATCAGTTGCATCACTGTAATCGGAAAGCATGGTGTTCATGAGCAAGTGCTCTTTGCTTACATACAATTTCTCAAAAGAGATTTTGGCAAATGCCCCTCTCCGAACTCCTATTCATAGTTAACTTTGCTGTTTTGAGAGATAGATTTGCCTCTAAAAATAGGCTTCTGAGCCATAACTGGAAGCACTGTTTACAGTGAGGCACTTAATAGTGTTGGCAGAATTTTAGAAGTTATTTCTGAAACATAATTATTCGTGTCTTTCTGGCTATTTTTTGACTGTGGTATCCCAACACACTCTGCTATCCTGACAATGCTATGTGTCCAAGTCAGTGTCTAAGCTGGTGTGATTGCAAACAAATAAACACTGATCGCCCACTAAGAATGTCATTTGTGAGCTCTTCACAGAGAGAGCAAGAACTAGAGAGAGAAAAGGGGAAAGAAAAGTCTTGCGGGAGTTCGACCCAAACGAGAAGTAGACTTTGTGGTTTGAAGGTTGTCTGATCGTATTTCTAGTTTGTCTGGGAAAATATCCTCTCAAATACCGCCTGGATCCCCTTGAAAAAGGTGATTAACCCCCAGCTGCTCCAGTGGAGTTGCTTAGCAGTTAGAGGTTAGAAAACCATGGAAGCAGAGAGGCTCTCAGGTGTGAATGTCTGTAACAACGTCAACAGAGAGCAAAGTTAAAACGGAGGTATGTGCGCATTTTTCTCACTTCCTACCGCGTCAATAAAAGTTTAAAATGGCTTTGTTTCATGTAATTCCAAAATCCAAAACAGGAAGCCTTCCAGAATATCAATATGTAATAGATATAAAGAGATGCAAAATAATCTTTTACATAATGTCTACTGTGATGGTATATTCATAGTAAGTATGAAGTTAGCTTCTCCAACGTAATTGCTAGAACCAGCTCACATTGTCTTTGGAAGTTAAATAGGGAGAAAATAAGTAGCAAATAGTCCCCAGCCCACTTTTATGCATACTGGGAAGTATATAGAACTCTTTGAGGGACACAAAGAATCAGTTCAATTTCTCTTTATGGCGAAGGGGGTTGGGGACGATTCTCCTTCTGTTCAATTGTGGAAATCTCTGATATCTGATGTTGTCACATTAGAGAAGTTGAGATGCAGAAGAAAGAACTCATCTTTTTGTAAGAAAATGGGAAAAACCACTGAATCTTCTAGGAAGTAAGTGCAGTTTGGCATGAAGATAATTGACTGACCTGAGGGATTATTTTGTTCATGCACAACACCATTGTTCAATACTTCTGTGCTCAGGTTACTAGATGAACGCTGCACATGGCGTCCTGGGCCAATAATGTAAATACTAACCTGGGGCATAATTAATATGTTAGTCATTGAATATATTACCAAAAAGAAATCCTACAAACAAAGAAAAACAGAATATCAATAGGTGGTCTGATGTACAAACCCGATCTGCAGGAGTTCCCTTCTGCTCAGCTCTGTGAATATGTTTGTTCATGTGTATTGTAACATAAAATCCAGCCTTGGCAAAGATGTGAACTCTAACTCTGTCAGAAGTAGGCACTGAAGTGTGTGTTGGAGTGTGGTTTGTTGCTGATGAACATGCCAAAGCCCAGCCAGCTCTTACACACGGCTGAGCAGTGTGAGAAAAAGCTTACTGGGATTTACACGTCTGTGCTGGCTCATAAATTTTCCGCACATGTGCTTCCCATTTTATCTCTGTCGCATCTCCTCTGTGTTCATGACTGTTATAGATATGCTTATTAACATGTTTATAGCTTTAATTATAATTACTATCATTCTTCTGCAAATCAGCAATTAGCTTTGGCTGCACTGCAATGTGGATAATTCAATTTCTCTCTTCACTGAGTCCCTGCTGATTATAGGAAGGGACACTGAAGTTGTCTATTGTTGGTATAATTTGCATTATTGCTGTTGGACTACTGCATTTCTAGTGGAACTTCACACTGGTATGTGTATGTGTATGTGTATTTGTGTGCAATTAAATATATTAAATGTATTAAAAATACTGAATACCTGTGATGTTTTGCTGTGCCCCTGGAGCTGCTGGATGGCGTAGTAGAGATGTTGCAATGTGCAAAGCTGGACTCACAAACATTTCCCTGGCGAGACTGGGAGGAGCGTTTGCAGTACTGCGGACACAAAAATAAAAAATAATTTAAGTTTTGTAGCAGTTAACATGTAAGGAGGAATCCATCTGATAAATTCTGACCAATGATGTTAAAGACATGTATTTGCATATCATGCGATACAAAGTGTTCCCACTCAGAACACCTCCTTCTTAAGCAGGTTATATTGAGATTTCTTAGATCTCTTCTGTTAACTCCCTCAGCTCCTTCTCACATGCTGGGAGCCTCGGGGTGGGGAGCGCCTATACTGCCTTGACTCTGGGAGCTGACTGTCAGAGACTAAATTGAGTCGAGTTATATCTATTTCTGCCTTTTTCCACCTTCCTCACAATCATTCTTGCCTTTTCAGGGATTGAGGTAAATTGTACTGTGTGGAGAGCGGAGGGAGGCTGTTGACAGCTTGATAAAATCAAGAGCATTAAGGCTTCCGGTTGTGTCACAAATCTTTTAGCAACAATGAAGGCTGGCAATTTCACTGAGGTCCAAATGTGTCAATGATGGCTGAATATGTGGTGGCTGGGAAAGAAAAAAGTTATTGCCAACCTGCACTGTGGATGTATTTATGATTTTACAGGTAAAATACAATAGTCCTAATTATTTTCAGATTTAGAACATTTAGGGGGATCTATTGGCAGAAATAGAAAGTCATATTCGGTCACTAGTCACTAGTGCATAATGACATCAAAATAAGAATCCTTGTTTTGTGTTTTCACAATGCTTGTAAGGGAAAAATATCACAGACGAGCTGCCAGTCATATCATTTTATCTTAAACAATTCCTTTTTTATGAAACAATGGTTAGTTTCATTTTGAGGCTTCTCAGAATTATTCAAATGAAACAATTCAGAAAGAGAAAATCCCTTTGGCTGTACTGCTTATGTTTCATTGTAGGGGAACACAAGCCAAAAGGTTTGGGAATCATTGCATTGAACACAATCTAAGCACAATAAAAGTTTATTTTTATTGGTCAAATGGCACAGAAATGAACACTGTCTGGTAACACTTTATAATGAGTACACACTATTAAGCATTAGTTAAGCATGAATAAATACTGAATCCATCATTTATAACGCATGAATACACATTAGTATGTAGTTTATAAACACAGTTAAAAATGTTTTATTCATCATTGATAAGCACATTAGTTATGGATTAGTAAATACTGAATTCATCATTTATAAAGCATGTTTCTGCTGTAAATAGTCATTACTATGTGGTTTATAATCACAGTTATAAATGTTTTACTCTTCATTGTACTGTACATTTCTGCATGCACTTGCACATCCACTATTCAGACATGTATTAATGATTAGTGACTGTGTTAGCAGATGTTCTATAAAACCCACAACAAATTCATTTTCTAATGATGGCCTATCAAGAAAGTTATATAAAATGCAGGAATTCAAAGTTACGGAAAGCACTTACTACTGCTTACATTAAGTATTTTACCCGAGCTTATCTAAAGTGAGCACTATCTATGGTTTATTAAGGATGTTACAAATGAGATATAAAGGCTGACAATGCCTCGAGACTCACAAAATGTTCAGTTTTGGCTTGTAATATAAATTTTTTGTGTAAATTGATGCTTTCTTGCAACAAAGATCATTGCTGAGTCAGTTACAATCATGATTTCTGACCAGATTTATCACGGCCTTCATTTTGTTCAGAAATGCATTCTTCCTATAATAATGGTGTATATATTTTCTTTATTGCTTGCCATCCCTTTTGAATCTCTTTCTCATCCGCATTGATCCTTCCTTTGCTACCTCTCCTGCCCTCTTTCCCACTGGTAGCCATCATGACAGGAGATCTAAATCAGCACTACCGTGTTACTATGCAAGTCCCAGGTTCTCCCTTTTAACTCCCCCCATGTTCGTCCCCACTGGAGAGACAAATATGCAGTGAAACAAAACAATTCTTTGTTCTGCACTTCACAATACTGTTGACATGGCAGACTCAGTTGCACGGCAGTGAAGATCTGCTATGAATCCCTCAAAAGAACACAGGACAACACAAGAAAGTGTTTTAGTCTTTAAACTTTAAAAAGCCTTAAAGATGTAAGGGGGTGGTGCTGGTTTGATTTCTTATCTGCTACACAAACCTATCTGTGGTTTACATCTATCTGGCAGTGACAGTTTTCTCTCCTCAGCATTATCTCAGCATCGTCTAGACTTTTGTAACATAAGCTAAGAGAGACCTATTTTTGTGCAATTTCTCGCTTCAAAGTACATTCATGTCTTTTTTTTTAAACAAAGTTCTGAGTTTGATGCCTGACTAACAAGGTTGTCACTGACGCAATCCCTTTATGGAACCTCTGCAGGACACCAGCCTCATTAGCATCACACAGGCTACCATAGTTACGTGACCATTCAGGCGTCTGAAAGCTGATTTGTTCTTATAAACCCTTTCTTTCTTAACTGGAATTGATACTGTATATATATATAGAGTACCATCTCCACTGAAGCAGGAATGTAGATGATGAGAAAGTAGGAACTCTCGTGAAACATAAATCTTAGAATCTTAAACTTTGACATGATAGTTTTAAACCTTTCAGAGAGTTGCACTTTTACCCTCACAGAATCTGACTCTGGTTTAAGAATAAGAAACAAGAGCTTAGCCTGCAGTATATTTAATGTGTTCAGATATTCAAATAATAAGGAATCAGTCCATGTTGTGCTGGCGAGTGCGGTTATATTGATTTTTCAGATGGACATACAGTTATATTTAAATGGTTTGGTTCATGGAGGTGCTGCAACGTCTACATCTGACACAATTCTTCAGACAGTGCTAATCATACTTTCCTAAACCGGATGGCTCTGACTGGATTAAAATATTAAAAAACAAGTCTGAATAATTAGACAGTTATCTATTATTTGTCTGGGTCAAATTAGCAATAAATAGTTTCACCTTATAACTGAAAATCCAGCACAACCCTTCGATGACAGTATCTTTGAAATTAATAGAATGTAATGATTGATACTGATTAATTAAGCTGTGGTTACTGATAAAGATTTACTGCAATAAACAGCATATAAAATACAAATAAGGTCAAAAGGACTTTTAAATACTAAGGGCTGCTTTAAGTTACACATTGTTCAATTGATACCAGATGCAACTTCAATGACAGCTGTATCATTTAGTGTGTCAGAAAAGAAACTTTTCTTGAAATAACTACAGAGATGATGTGACATTAATGGAGAACTCCAATGATTTTGCACATTAAGGTAAATGTACTTGTCATGAGAAGTACTACTCGGTGAAAAAGATGTACAATAAATTCTCATACATTTCATACGTCTCTTGTGAGTTCTTTAACTTTTTGGAAGTGCAACATTAAATCCCTTTAACAATGTTTTGGGTCATAGAGTAAAGTAAAAAAAAAAAAGAATATTGAAAATTTGAGGATGGTCAACACCACCCGTTGCATCTCTGTCTAACTGCTAAAATGTCTCTCATCTCCACCCACACATTCTGACACCATGCACATCCAAGCTGCTAATTGACACAGAGGCTTCCAGTGAACAGTTGTTCATTTCTCAGCCTGTGATAAAACAGCAAATATGAAGTTTTAATAGTGGGACATTACGCTAGAAAGTGGGCTACAATTATTCAAACAGAGACGGATGTGTTAATGCTCACATGTGCTGTTAATAAATTCATGATAAAGAAGAAATGGAAGGCAGTATAATCGCCCCTGCTAGTCATAGCTGAATGAATGTCCAAGTTCACTGACTCATTTGCTTTTACAGTTAGAGACAGAAAAAAGTGTTTAACTTATTTATCCGTTAGAGACTAATAAAGAACTCTGCCTACCACCTCGAAGAGGGAGAAGTGCCTACAATCTGTTAATTCTGACACTGTGTGGTTCAGCGTCCATTTTGTTTCACTTTGAAAAATAGATTTAGGCATTAGAAAGACTGCTCAAGGAATAACTGGAAAACTGTGTGCATGTGTCATACAGCAATACTGACTGTTTATAGAGGTCATCAATATAAATGTAATGTTTTCTCGCTGCAGGCAAAGAAACTTTGCTTTCTAGCTCCATAAATGACGCACAGATACATCGGGCAAAAGTAATCATTGCTTTGACAGTGACTTCATGCCGCGACTGGACATTTGTGGTGCAAAGGGAGCATGTAATGGCGTATATTAATGGATGTGTGTGTGTGTGTGTGTGTGTGTGTGTGTGTGTGTGTGTGTGTGTGTGTGTACTGTAATGTATGTTTTAATCTCTGAGATAGGGACTAGAATTCACCGTATGCCTCTGGCACTGAGGTTTTTTAACACTAACATACTATCTGGAGGAAACCAGGAGATGATTTTTATGATTTGCGCAGAGATGCTGGCATCAATAACAGCTTTACAGCATTATAAACACACACACACACAACTGTAATCTGAGACCAAAGCTTAGCAGAGCAGGCTCAGGACAGTCTTGTTCATGATAGAGAGAAAGCAGTTTCAATTATGCGGCAATGACATACCGACTCTGTGGAAAACCTGTGGAATACATGATAGGGTGGTAAAACTGATTGATAGAGAAAGACCGGCTCAGTCAGAGCAGCTCTTTAGTTCACTGCTTAATCAAATACTTCCAACAAATGGCCCTGCGGTGCTAATCAGAAGTGCTCATTTCCTATAACGGGCCACTGTTGGGTAGTTCTGCTGCCTTCGTCATGACCTACCCGATTATATGGGCTGTTTATCTACATGTAAATGCGCTTAAATGCAACAAAAAAAGTAATAATCCCTTATTAAAATTAGATCAGAAAAATCAAATAGGGGATTTAATTGTGGCGAAGACATGCAACAGAAATGTAATAGAGAGAAAGAAATTCAGCTTGCTGTGTGTGACACATTGTGTGAGTGCAAGCTCCTATAACAGCACTGACCCTGTGCTTGCTGCTCTGTGTTCAGAAATGCTGCTAATTGATTGCCTGCAGACAGAAATCGACGTGACTCTGGGTGCGTAGGCACAAAATAAACAAATACAATTCATTTGCATGTAAGTTTCCCAAAGGCTCTTGTAGAAATGAAATAAATAAAACAAAATTTAAAAGCAATACACTACAGATCAGGCTTGTTTTTCTCCACAATACAGTCAGTAAACAATAATCAGTAATTCATGAGCTAGTGCTAATAGAGCAATTAGCAAAATAAGAGTCAAAGGACCACTTTTAAATTGTTTTCTATTATGTTTTGATATAATGTGATTTTGAGAATGTGGTTTATTCAACTGTACATTATTGTATTCAATTATTTTACTCTTTATTTTCTTAGCAGAAGAGATAATCATTAATATGGAAAATAATCATACATTTACATACATTCAATTTATTATTACACAGTCAAAAAAAAAAAAAATGGTGTTATTTAAAATATGTCTGTTTCAGTGTAAGTTCCTGGCTGGCTAGCGTGTAGCACACACTTTCTAGTGTAACTGAACCGTAGTGCTAATGATAATTATTGCATGGTCTCAACTGAAACAGGTGGGAAATAACTGTCTCCCTCTCTTTTTATCTGGTGATTTAGTCAACAATTCTAGAAAAGTTTAAAGTAATTGCTGGGAATTGCTTGTCTCAGAAGTCGGTCAGTGTGCTGCAGAGGAGGTCGAGCCTTCTTTGCTGTGAAGCCCCAGTTCTAACCTCTGAGCTACAGACTCACTCCTGAGGAGATGCCTAATCAGCTAAACACCACTTGTGTAGGTCTCCACTGGCTGCAAACTCTTCAACATAGATAGCAAGATAACAACACATCACCTATAACAATTATTGTTACTGTCTGAGTTGCTGCAAGAGTGGCTCAATATATTATATAATATTTCTATGTATCACTGTTTAAATAAAAGGAACTTAAGCAATAACAAAGAGTCATAAAGATTTTTGCCTTGAGTTACAAATCAGTGAATGAACCTGTGGGTCATATTTTATGTTCTGATTTAAAGGAGGCATGAATTAACATTTTGATATCATTTTCCTGAATCTTTAAGTTGACCCACTCTAGCTAGCTAAGTCCACATCCATTATAAAGTCTCAAATTCTTAAAAAAAGCATAATACCTGAACTGTGATTTCTCAAAAAATATGAAAAAGGTATCTCAAAGCTGAAAAGAACTGATAAAGTGCAGTGACCCATTTAAAGTTGGAAGTTCCTAGCTGAAAGAAGAAAGGGAATGAGTTTAAAGAGCAGTAGGTTCCTTCCACTGACTTACACAAGAAAAGTAAGAAAAAAAAGATCTGAAAATCTGAAAAACATAAAAGTCAAAAGTAAAAGCAATAATGTCCTAAAAGCAAAACTTCTGAATATTTGAACAGAAGTTCAAGCTAAAAGTCTGCACTGTGTGTAGAATATTAAATAATAAAGATCAAGGAGAACATAGGTGTGATTAGTCTTAGTACATAAAACTAATCAAATCAATAATTGATCTGTTTTCCTATGGTGTGTCAGTTGTTAGGCTGATAAATATACATGAATCAATTTGCATGTACTATGTGCACAAATAGCTATTAGTTTATTGGGTTACAGTTTGCATCCGCACAAGTGAACTTATTTTATTCTCTGTTACCATTACATTTAGGTTGAAATCAAAATGTAACATGATGTACTTCTTGGGTGCAACAACACCAATGCAAATAAGTGCATCACTTTGATTAGAGCACTTTCAAGTTTATGGCATATACGATCTAAATCAGTGTAGAAGGTTAGATTGCTGCCATTGCCTTGATCTATATGTAAGTTTGGGTGACCAGTTTGTTTGTCCTTGACAGAGCACTCAGCTTGAGGGTAATATGAGGAGGCATACCTGACATGCCGTCTTCGCAAACTACAGACTTTACAGATTACTTTCAAGCTTTGGTTAGCTCTGTCTCCAAGCTATATCTTAGACATCTGAACCCTCTGTGAACCGATTCCCAAGATCCTCTGGCAAGAACACCCTTGTGTTTTAAAGTCCATTAGCTCAAGATTAAAGTCGACAGAGCCTCTGCAGTTGTGTTGCAATCAGACACTTTTACTTCTTTTACCTGTGGATTCAAGTTAGACAATTCATCTTTTTATACAGTATATATTCAGTATATTGGACCAAAAAAGGTAAGCCCATCCCTAACCCTTACTCCTACTCTGCCTCTGATTGGCTCTGAACGTTTATTCCCTAATGATCTCGCTGCTCATGCCTAAACCTAACCAACCAAACCAACAAAGAACACTAGCCAATCAGAGGCAGAGGGTGGGGCCTTAGTAGAATGCCTGTGGGGAAGAAAATCTAGTGTTACGTGGGTGTTTAGGGGTATGTACCTATGCTCACCAGGAGGTAGCGGTTCACAATGAGAAGGGTACTCATGTGGACAAAAATCTGAAGTGCCAGTACTTAGTACAGGTGAATAATGTATTTATTTCAGTAGGTCTGTATAAGTACTTGAACAAAAGTCAACAAATGAGGCAGTTCCCCTTTCAAAATGACCCTGCCCATTACAAAAATGACTCAACATTTTTCTGATCTGTCACCTCTATTTTAAAAGAATGGTTTTGGTGGAAATGGGCCTATTTGCTTTCTTGTCGAGACTAAGATGAGATCAATACCCTCTCCTATGTTGCTGAAGTAAATATGAGGCTATCGGCAGTTAGCTTAGATAGCATTATTTTATTTATTTTTTTCTAAATATGGTCCCTTCTGGGTCCAACAAAAAAAAGATGGTGACGGCAATAATGCCAAACTTGAGGCTTCAAAACAGTGGTCCAAAAACTGTCTATTATGCAGTATATAAGAATCACAGAAACGATTTGGACATGGTCTGGATAAGATAAGCAATTGCCTTCATGGTTGTAAAAATCAAGTGGTGAGGGTTGGTAGAAGACTGTCAGCTGAATCATGAACCGCCAGTGTGAACTGTAATTATCTCTACCGCAAACTGTAGGAGAAGCACAGAAATGTTTATTCTGTATGTGAGCTCCAAAGTGATTTATCCATCTTGTGTATATTAATGCATTTATGATGGATAGAGTCCCCGGTGTGTACAGTACATGTGCTTTGCTTCATTGCAAATTCAAATCATGCCTGAAGGAAACATACAATTTATCCAATGAAGCTTCGTGTCAGACCTGTGTAGATTAGATAGGTAATTTATATGATAAACATGTAAAAACGATTAAAGCTAATTTATGCCCAATAGTGCACAAATACACACATACATGAACTCCCCCAAGGCGATGGAAGATGTGTATTTGACTGACATTCAAATTAAGGTAATGTTTTCCATGCCAGCTACTCCACGACGCACTTCTGGGAGAGATGTGATGACAGAGAGCGCTGAGAAGATGATGAATGACATCGCTAGCCAGCACCATGCTCCCAAACCACTGAACAATTGCTCACTCAAAGACCTGTGAGCCTGATGCAAGTGGCCAGGTGGAGACAGGTATACATACTGATTCATATGCAGCTAGAAACTGCAGGGGGGTGATGAATTTTATGATAGATTATAATACTCCGAGGTGTTTTGTGTGTACGGCATATGTCTAATTTGTGATAATCTCTTCAGGGACACTGCTACCAGATAAAAAAAAATTGTTTTTGTTAAATTTTTGTGTGGTTTAATTGAGCAATAATCTAAGCAAATTTATGCTGATGGCAATTAATAGCATGAATTGAATGTTGACAAAAACTAAACTGATATAGGTTGGTTAATTTTTAAGACAATTAAGTTTAAGCCAGTCTTAAAAGAAAAAGCATGAGAGCACCCTGATTTACACTCATGAAAACTGTTTGTTTATGTCTTACACCAGGCAGCAAGACTTTGAAAGACAGTCAAGATGGAAAAAGTAAAAACAGTAGTAGTCACCTCATGCATTTGCAGGTTGGTATTGGGGGCCCTTATCTTGACATCCAGGGCAGTATGGGAATTAGCAGTGTAGTTTTTCAAACTGCGACTCTCCTTCAGGTGGGCCTGAAGCTTCTCTCGGCGCCTCCTAAAGAGAAAGAAAAAAAAAGGGTTGATGTACAAGTGGAATTTATTTTAGGAGAGCTTTGATCAGCGTCAGCTGAATTACTGTGAATCCTGTGCAGGTCTGCAGGTTCTCAATACAACTAATCAGTATGTACTATATAGTATCTACTATATATGTATATGATTATTGAATCGTCAAGTGGTGTTGCTGTAATTCTGGCTTTGAGTTGTTAAACTGTGTAAGGATAGAGCATCTGCTGGCCTAAGTACATGAAAAGCCTTTAACCTTCCACATTTGCTTTTACTTAAGAGGCCACATTCATCCTTCTTTCATCACATAAGATATCCAAATAACTTCTAGTAAAACATGTTCTGAGTTCCTCAGTGTCATAATTGTGTTCTGAATTCAACATTCCCACTACGTCCCACCTGAAACACCTCTTTTTTGTTCCAATGAATTCAAAACAGGAGACTTGGGACAGTTGCACCACCGTTGTTTCAGAAAGGAATGACACCAATGTACAATATCACTAATGTGGTGTTTAAGGTCCCGTGGTCCCTAACACCATCACCCTGCCCTGATAGAACATTACAGAACATTCAGGCAGGCCAAAACGAGACTTTACACTCAACCTGTTTCTAAAATATATATGCAGTTCTAAACTGCGAACCATTTTAAGGTCATCTTTTCTTTCCCAGTTCCCTGGCTCCAATAGTGATTCCAATAGTCCTGAAATGTGCAGCTCATTCTAGTTACAGCATTGTATTTCAAACTCAAAAAGCAAGCATAAGGGATAAAGCAATAGAATTGTTCTAATGCAAATCTAAATTAGACACAAGTACGTCCAAACACTTTATTTATAGGCTTTTATCCTGCTTTACTTTTCCAAATATACATAATATCCTGTGTCATTCTTGTAAAGGACACTGGGGAGTATCTATAGGAGTTCTGTTTGAAAAGCAGAAGATAGAAAAAATGAGTGTGTCCTGGGAAAATTGCTTTCTACCAGCCTCAATGCCCTTGAGCACAGAGCAGAAGAAGAAAGTGAGCTATTGACCGAAGGAACTTTCTATTTGTACCTTGCCTTATTTCATCTCTAAGCAGTAATAAAAGAAGACTTAGAACAAACTAGTATTATATTTTATATAATGTATATATATTATATATATATATATATTTTCACTTCTGTTAAGATTTTTTGAGTCTGGACTCCTTATTTCTCAGATGTGATTTGGTTGAATCAGAATGCATTTGTAATATTTATTGCAAAGACACTGAAGGACTGAAGTCATTGACCGGAAAACTAATTAGCTTGACCCTAATCTTGAATGGATGCAGACCTGACTCAAAGCAAGAGGTCTAGAGATAATCATGTTAGAGGAAGTGAAATAATTAGACCTTTGCAGAGCAGAGGGTTGTAATCTGATTTCTGACATTCATCTTAAAGAAGCTGGTCTGGTTTAATTTTCTGTCCAGTGTACATTACATGCTTGTAATTGTCACAAGGTGAGTAACTCAAGTTATTTGCACTAAGCCCTTTTATCATAACTTCATTCTGCTGTGCCAGAGGTATGCTCATTATCATATACAGCCTTTACTGCTCCTGTCTCGATTATCTGCTGAATGACAGCGATGTAATGAAGTGTTTACCAACAGCCTTCTGGTAAGCCCCTATCATCTCCGCCCTACTTTAATTATATATTCTTAGAAGAAGGCGGCGACATTTGGTACACACCACCTTAGGAGAAGCGTTCACTTAATATGAAAGGTCCATTATCTCTTCTAAAGCCCTGACAACGTCTGGTTGTTTATTTGATGCTTTTGAATGTAAAAGGGTATGCTTGCTCTTTATGATAGAAGCATATGCTTTTGCTGTGCAAAAGTGAAATGAGACTTGTTTGAATTATGTCATCAACTGTTTGTAACCAACCTACTTAGAAGCTACAGCTATTATGAATGTGTCTAAGAGACAACACTAATAACATTTTCTATTTAGCAGAAAACTCCATCTCACAGGTCATGTTGGTAAAAAATTGGTCAACACTTTCTATCATAGACTTATCATGCTGTCAGTACTTTAAACAGAGAGAGATCTTTGGTATCTTGACCCCTAAACCAGGGGTGTGCAACCTGCAGCTCTTTAGCCCCTTTCCAGTGGCTCCCTGTGGCTTTGACGAATAATTATATGGAAATGAATCTGTTTTTTGGGGGGTGGATGTGAACCCTAAAGCACAACCTCATTGTTAATGTGTTGGAGGAGAGACAAAAATGAGAAAATGTGTCACTCTCCAAATACATACACACTGCAGGTTGCCCTTTAACGAGCAATGAAGACAGCATGAATTAAAGAATCAATTGTCTTCCATTTGGCTGTGTTTTGTGTGAGTAAACCTTTGACTTTATCTTTATTCAGGTTGCTCAGATTTGCATGAACACCTCCTGATGTATATGCATCTTCTCCATTGAACAAGCTAGTTCCCTGACTCAATTACGGATTTTTTGAAAGCGCCTGTCCATCATGCCTTGATCCGATTATCTTGTTGTCAGGCTGCTCACTCACTCACATTATTATATTACAGAGGGAAGCCTATGGAATTACAGTGCCATCTATCACAGCCTACTCACGGTCCATATACCCTGAATGACACACTGCCGTTACATACCGGATGTTCGACCCATCCTATTGAGAATATAGAATCTCTTTAGGCAAGGCATGCAAAGTTCTTGCAGCCAGGAATGGATGTTGGCCATTCATATGCCAATTAATGTGCACACACAGAGCATGTACTGCAAAAATATGGAGATAGGGAGAGAGGGACAGGAAGGAGAGAGACAGTGCAGAAGCCACAAGAGCTGACCTTTGGGTTATAATGGGCTATGAATATGTGTGTGCACATAATGAGATTTACAAATTGTTGCAAATACTCGGTCTGGGATTTCGTTCAAGATGTTTGATGCCTCAATGTGTTCCTTCGGCCTTCACTAAATTAACAAAATGTCTCCTTGGGCATTTCTTCTCCCCACAGCCAACTGGGCTTATTACCAAATACTGTAACATTTTACTTACTTTAGGATTTTGCCATGAATATTATGGTCAAAGTAAGTTTGAAAGTTTGAAAATCATTGGAGAAACTTTCAGTTCAAATGAAAACTGATGGTTGGGATGAAATTAAATGTCACTGTAGCTAATGTACCTGTCAATATATTCATGAGAAAATTCCATATGTCACATTTGTGCATGGCTGGAAAAATGGAATCCAAGAGCTGGGTGAAAATGCCCAGTTACAGTCCTTGAACTTTATGTGCGTGTATGTGCCTTGCTTGTGTCAAAGTCTATTTGCATACCGATTTGTGTTACCCCTTACCTTAACCTATCCATCCAACCTTAGCCCTAACCCAAACCAGTCCTCTCTGTGACACTAGTCCTATCCATGGACAGGATAGGACAGGAACAAGTATTTAAAGGGGAAACAGACCCTGACCTCAGCCAAGCTGAGAAAACATGTTTATGTTGTTCACTATCTTTATTTATGTGTTGATAGAATTGTATATATAATATTGTTTTGACCTAGTGTTTTATTTGATAGCTTGACAAAGGTAATAAGATTCTAATACAATACACTTTTTTTCAAATTCAGCAAATATTGCCACGCGGTTCGCTAGGTCTGTGTGCGCTGACAAAAAAACATGGAGGTTGCACACATCCCCGGCTAACTCTGTTAGCTTTGCAGCAGCAACTTTAGCATATCATTTCATATCGTATGCCTTAACACTGCTCTGTCTTCTGTGCAACTCAGCTTCAACAGTATCCAGTACGTCTTCTCCAACCTTCACCTACTCCTAAACACTAATAAAAAAAAATGTCGCCTGCCCCCTCAAAATCTCCTCCTTGGGTGGATCAGAACTCAAATTCGTCACATTGTACAAATACCTGGGTATCTGGTTCGACAGTTCTCTCTCCTTTCAACACACTGCTCTCCAAAGGCAAGAATCGGTTTCCTCTATTGTAATAAGGCGTCATTTACCCTCTCTGCTAAGCACACCTGAACTATGGTGACCTAATCTAAAGGTTTGCCTCCAAATCAAAAAAGTACCAGTTCATTTATAAAACTAAAATCATTGGCAAACCCTTCCATATCTCCGATTTCTACTAAGCTTTTTTAACAGAAACCACAATTTGTGTTCTTCTACCTAAAGTCTGTACATCCTTTGGCTGTCACTCTTTCCACTCTGCCGCTCCCAGGGACTGGAACCAGCTGCAAATGTCACTAAAACTGCACACCCTTATTCCATTTATCTTCCGTTTCTGATCACTGCACTTATTTTTAAATCTACTTCTCTTGTTGAGGTCATGTAAATGAGAATTGGTTCCCAATTGACTTATTTGGTTAAATAAAAGTAAAATAAAAATAAATAAATCGAATCATTGTATAAAGAAAAAGAAATAAAAACCTTGGATACTACCATATTTTTGTGCTTCCGTATCACATATCCCACCTTTAAAGTTTTTATTGTTTATATAGAGGAGGATTCCGGTTTATTACAACTAGGGTCTTGGGATTTTTGTTTTTATTGATCATCATTTGTATTGCAACAGATAGACAACATTGGGATCTGGAAAAATGGTGACATAGGTGAAAAAATTAGCATACCTGAAATGTCAGTAGTAACTCATTGTTGCATGCACAGTACAGTTGATCAAAACGTTTACTGTGTTTGTTAGGGGTTTAAAACTGATATGATTGATCACCACATTGCCCTTAGCAATTTACATATGAACTGGGGGTTGTATGTATATCTATATGCATGTTTTTGTGTGTTTATCTTCTCACTTGTTGCGGCAGTAGAGGGCCATACACAGGGTTCCCAGGAGACTGATTGCCATGGCGATGGATGTGATTGACAGCACCTGTCTCTTGTACACCTCTTTGCTCTCTGTAGGGAAACAAAAACAGAGGAAGGAGCCACATTAATGTCTGAACACAATCCTCGGGAATAAAGTCATAGATCACTTACATATCTATCAGCATGTGTGTATGGGAGACCTAGGAGAAGAAAAAGATGGGGGATTTTGTGAATCAGTGCGAGTGTGTATATTTGCCGAGATCCCACAGCCAATATTCACAGAGGTGGAGTTGATACTAAATTAATACTATAGAGTAATCTCATCATAACACAGAATTAAACATGGTTTTGAGGTTTGTAGTTACCAACTTTTAATTTCTAATATTGTTGTTTGCAGCACCCAAACAGCCATTTCAAATCATCAAACAACCAGTTGCAGTGCAACAGCTCTCTGGGGCTGCTTGTATCTGCTTTGCAGATTCTTTCCTGTATAAGTGTAATTACTTTTGTGATAAATAAACTAAATAAAACTGCAATAAAATAACAACTCAAAACCCATTTACAATACACCAACACCTATTTACAATTCTCCAGCAACACCTTCTATTCTTAGTTACCACACAGCCTTTCAGCTCATTTTATCAGCTCTACCACATCAAGTAATGGTCCAATAGACGCCGACTGCTTTTGAAATGGATGCCACATGTAATGGAGCTTGAATACATGGAGACAAGAAGAGTTATGGCATGGACAGACGCCATTAGTGGAGAAAAATGGAAGCTGTCTTGTTTGCTACGAACAAGTAAATCATAGTTGCCTTCAGATACATTAATAGGCGATCAATCAGGTTTTATTTAGCAGGGCTCAGACCTTGGAAAAGCACGAAGATGACACAAGGTGTTGGGTTTTTACATTGAGGTGATTGAGACAAATTTTTTACTGCGGATGGGTTTGAATGGCCACTTTAGTACAAAAAAGATTAAGTTCTTTACAGCTACCTTTTCAGTGCATACGCTCAGAGAATCACTGCTGACAGCTGCAGAATACAACCACAACCTTCTTAGCAACAGAGCAACACCGCTGCAGCCACTGCATCTTGCTCAAGGGCATCCTGACAGCCGGCAATGAGAGAGAGTGTTACTAATTCATGACCACATCAAGATTTTCAAACCTACCTGGGAATTCAAACCAGGGATCTCTCAGCACAAGCTTACTGCTGTAGCCTTTAAGCTACTGATGCCCACACAGATATTGCATAACCAATCATACATGCAGTATGTCATACATAATCCCTGAAATAACTGATGTCATGTCTATTAGTCCATTGTCAGGGCATCCTTTCCTCTCTTCTCTGTCTCTATTTATCTCCCTCCATTGATGTCTCAGTTGTTTGGGGCCAGTGTTGTTTTGATGCTGTTAATCAGCCTGAGTCATCACATTGGCTCATTGGCTATAATTATATCATTAGAGGGAGCTGGGGGCTGTCCTACGGGAGCACACTGAGGTCGGTTGCAGGGAAGGCAGAAAGACAGACAGGCAGAGCAGGAAGGACAGACAGAGAGCAGGATGGGGAAATATAAAAGAGAGACATAAGGAGGAATGATATAGGGAGGTGCAGAGAAAAGGTAAGATGTTGAAGAGATGCAGTGATCTCTCTTTTTCTCTACTGATACAGACTACTGTTATGTTAATTCAGGGTATTGGCTGATACTGAACACTGATCTGATCCTACTTACAATTTTTTGTACACTGGAAGGTCTAACACTGTAACATATACAGTGTGTACACATGCATTTTATATATTCTTATGCTCACATCATGCAGCATATTACATTTTCCTTTAGTAAATTCCTTTCTTAATTTAATAACTGCATATCTCACTAACTCCAGCTATTTATTTTTGAACGTTCATAAAGTTGGGGGACTCACAAAGTAAGAATAAAGAAAAAAAAGGTCACTATTGAAGCATTAGAGGCCAATATATCTCAATTTTAATTGAGTGTGAATTGGTCAAGCCCCAAAAATATTTCCCATAATGCAACCAATAACATTTTTTTATTAGCCAGTTCCTGCCTGATAAATGCCTACACTTTTCAAACTTCACGCCCCAAGTAGTTTTAGACCCCCAAGTCAAGATGACCCCAACCCACCAGGGTTAAAAATCTCAGAGCAACAATATACAACTGTTTAGCATCATGTTCATTTTTGAGCAGAATTAACTTCATCCCTTTACTAGCTTTTTCTAGAACTTTTCAATTCCATTAGAGCATTTCTCAGTCTTCACAGATAACAGAAATAATTTATTTTCTATCATCTGTTGCAGTGTCTGAAATTCTACTTAGGTCACATGAGCACTAGGATTGGGTACCGACCACAGTACTTTTGAAGATCCTGACCGACATCGGTACTACAGAGTAACCCTCAGTTGGTAACAAATTTTGGTACCATCTGGGTGAGAGGGTAAGTTACTATAGAGAGAAATAGAGAGAGCTAGACTAACGTTATATCATCTTTGCAGGTTGTTGAAGTCACAGTGAGTCGGGGGAAACAGACTTTGTAATGCAAAATGCAAAGCTGACCAGGGCAAAACATCCAACCTGGTCAAACACAAAATATACTGAAAAGCTGAAGAGTGTAATATTACAGAGATACCCTAATAGCAAAGTCCCCAACGTTAGCCTGTTAGCACGCCTGCAGCCAGCAGCGAAGTTTAAATCTCTTCACATCTTCAGGTAATTAATTAGTTGGATAACCAGGCTTTTTTTCCTTTTTTTTGAGGTTGGCAAGTGTGCTGATCAACAACACTGATTTATAGCTGTCCATGATTACTGAATTAACATGACTATTATGATTACTATTATATATGTGAGATTTTTTTTGTATGTCTGAAACCATAGTATGAAACCAACGGTATGTGAAATGCATACTATTTATTCTATACATAGTATTTACAGGGGAACTACTAGAGTAAGCAAACACTGCGGTAGTGAGATAATTTTGGATTTAAATTACATTTTGGTTATTATAGAGAGAGTAAAGTACTGAAAAAAGGTAGTGTTGGGAGCTGGTGCCAAATTCCAGGTACATTAGAACCAGAACCACTGATTACTGGTTCTAATGTGAACAGTACCCAACCCTAATGAGCGATCTTTATGACAACTGAGCAAAAAACATCCACTGATGCAACCATGAGAAGCAGTTTAAAGCTCTGGGAAAAGCAAGTGGAGTATTGTGAGCAATGTTTTTACAGGATGAGTGACAAATAAACTGCAAAAAAAGACACCGCTTTTTGTGATTTAATAATAATTTCAACCTAATACAGACAATGAAACAGCACTCAATGGAAATTTTTCATGTCTGCCTGACACCCTATTTGTCTGATAACAGTATCAGCAGTGATAATGACTCAGTCTATCAGAGGAGACTGACGTTTCAAGAAAAATGACAGCATCAGTTGTTTCAGCAAACGCCCAATAATAATTATGTTACATCTTCCAAGTCCTCTTGAGGAGACTGCAGTGTGCTACTACTTACCTATTGACAGTCAATGTGACTTTTAACCTTGACCTGAAAATGTTCATAACCTTAAGTATGCATTTTAATCCAAACCACAAAGCTGTTCTAGTGCCTAAACCTTGCCAAACCTTAACCATAGTCAGATCAGAAAAATGTTTTATTTAACAGTTTTAAAGTTTTTTTGGAAGGCTTTGACAAATGATGCATACTGCCGATAGGGATGCCTCTGTGTGGCTGTGGAGGACAATCACAGACAATGAATTTTGTTATTTAATTTGGCAGGTTTGTATCAGAGTGGTGCTCTAGTTTAGGGGGGAAGGTGATGAGAAATAGGTTGGAGGAGAGTAGAAATAGAAAGTTTCCATCCACATTTTCTTTAAGTGCAATTTTGATTTATGCCAGAAAAGAAAAAACCATAAAAACACTTCTCAAAAGTGTTTTTATGGTTGGCTGAGGTGGAAAAGATGCTACCTTGACACTATGAACAAAAGGTGGCGGAAATGGACCAAAAAGATGGAAGACAGGGACAAAAATTGAAACTGTAACTTGGGATGACTTCACCCTGCCCTGTCTGCAATACTAATCTGAATGAGATTTTACATTGGTATACAAATATATGTGTAAGTTCAAAACACAGACACATAAAAAGAAGTTTATAATACTAAAGTTAGAGGGGAAAAGTTCAATATATCACACACAATCAAACTTACATGTTATGCATGCAGCATGCTTGGTGTGAGGACAATCATAAATATGTTGCTAAGGTCAAGAAGTACTTCAACTTCCCTCCTACCCTCCTACGTCCTTGTTTGGACACACCTACTGTATGCACAAACACACTCTCTTGATGTGAATAAATCATACGGCTCGAGAGAGGAAAAGCATGTTCATGTTCCATCTGTGGGGCCGTGAGGTCACATCTTCTATTTATTTCCACTTCAAGTGTTCTGCCCTGCAGAGCCCTGCTGGTTGCTTATTTACAGCTACATAATAGAAGAAATATGATTAATATTTTACACTAAAGGTGGTAGCAGCAACGCTATTGAGGTGCTGCTGTGACCTTTTTGTACATATACATTCAGAATGTGTTTACAGCAGCGATTGTATCCATACAGGTGAGGTGGGAAGAAAGAGAGTGATCAATAAGTGATGATCTAAGTGGTAAAATATCTTGCCTTATATACAACAGAGATTAACATTTTTAGCCTTCATTACCTGTAATATGCTATTTATATTATGTTTTGCATTTTTTTATATTGTTAACAACGACAAAGATGTGTAAGTGTATTTCTCTGGGTTAGAACATTGTTGGAAACATCTGGGATAATTACAACTATTTTGTTGAGTACACAACTCAACAAAATATATTACATAGGTCTAGTGTTTATTGACATTTCAACATGTAATGTAACATATAACATCTTTAAGTAATGAAGCATCTCTTAAAATATCTGTTTCCTGGTGTCAAACCCATTCAGTGTGAATGGAAATTCTTCTCAAAAAAACATTATCGACCTTGCCGGTCGCCATTTTTAGGAACTACTTTGACGAGAACTGTATTGAAATGTTGGTAG